TCCGAAATTCGGGGACAGCGTCCTTTCAGCACTCTCGCGTAATACTCTAAAACAATTTTTTCGCAACCGCCAAGGGGGTGCCAGAGAGGCGGGGCGGAGGAGCCCGAATCAATCCAGGCCATACCCACGCGCCTTTCAAAGTTCCAAAGACGGCCGCGCGTACACGGTAAAACCGCGCATCGTTGACGCCAGAGCTTCTTTAAAGCATCTGGGTTCTAAAAAAGAGGGCGGCGACGCAAGCCGAACCGAGGCCGGGGCAGGTCACAAGGGCTTCATTGGCACCTGTGGGACTGGCGGAATCAGCACCTCGAATACGCAACTCACAGAGCAAAAACCTAATATCCGAACATGACGCGGGCATTATTCATGATCCGCGTGGCTTGCCCTGGGCCGAGGCTCGCGGGGCGCGGCGCGCCGCCCGCCGCTTTGCTCCACGGCAGCACCTTCAGAAGTTCACTTGCGCACCCCCGGACCGTGATCTGCCCATTGTCGAAGCGGCGGCGCAGAGCCTTCAGCTTGGCAATGCCGCCGCGGTCGAAACTCATCTTCTGGAGCAAGCTCTTCCTGCCGTTGACTTTGACGCGGCCGCTGCTTGAAGAGAGGAGGCGCTTGGCGGCCGCCGCCCCGTGCGTGCGCTTCACGCGGCGGTAATTCGCCTCCTTTTCCGCGCGCGCCACTGCGAGACCCTCCCAAAGCCGATGAACGGTCATATCCTTCTCCAGCTCGACATGAGCAAACACGATCCTCCGCACAAATTTCTCTGCTGGGTTCGGCTGGTGTTTGTACAGCGCAGGCATATCAGTGGCGATGATCTCTATGCCCCTCTTCTTGGCCATCTCGAACAAATCTTCATTCGCATGGGAGCTGCGGGCGACAGCCCTAGCATTTTCCACCAAAATAGTTTTGATCTTCCGCTTGGTCGCCTCGGCCACCAGCTTCTTGAACCCCTGCCGCGATCCTGCTGGCAGGCTCCCGCTGACCACCTCGGATATTCCGCCTACTATCTTGTGCGAATTGCTGACGGCGAATCTGCTCACGGCCTCCCTCTGCCTGACGACGCCCCCGCGGTCTCGATTTTCTCGGGAGCTGACTCTGATGTAACTGAGTGCGGCTTGTGGCTTCTTCTTGCCCACGGTGCGCTTGACGCCTGGGCGAGTCATCCCCATTGATGTTCGGGAACGGTGGTTTCAGGCAAGGCTCAGAGCTCGTGCGAGGCAGGAGCCAAAATCTGCAAACTGCAACATAAGAAACAACGGGGGGTGAGAGGAGAGCGCGGGGTGCGATGAGGACAAAGGGGGGCACAGGGCTGGCGGCCAGACATTTCGCAGTCTGGTCGTTGAAAGATCGACTTGAACGTCGGAGAACGCGTGGGTTTCTTCCATCATCTGGGGGGGCTGGCGGAATGGCGCGAGCCCCTGAGCATTGAGCCTCCTGGGGGGCGCGGGCACTGGAGGGGGGTGGGGAGGCGGCCTGGCGAGGAGGAGGAGGAGGAGGAAGATGAGGGGCATGATGATGGGCGGGCGAGGGGGAGTAGGCGGGCGAGAAGGAAAAGGAGGAGGAAGAGCCTTGGGACGACGAGCAACGACGAAGACGACGCTGACAACGAATGTTTCGATTCTGACTCCCTCTTTCGGGGGGGTGGTATGTGTGCCTGGGGTCAGGCCGCAACTTGTATACAGAGTTCCTGTCACTTTGGCATTGTTTGGTTGTGTATGGGTGGAGGCCTTCGGCAGCACCTTGTAAACGGGGTTCTTGTCACTGTGGCGTTGTTTGGTGGTGTGTGTAGGTGGAGGCATTCGGCCGCACCTTGGAAAGCGGGCTCTAGTCACTGTGGCGTTGTTTGATCATGCGTGGGTGGAGGCCCCGGGCCGCAACCTGGAAAGAGGGGCGGAGGCGACGATGACGACGAAAGCCGACGACGACGACGACGGCGACGGCGGTGGCGACGGCGAACGGTTTGTAATTCCTATGGTGCTCAGCGTCTGGTAATTGGATTGATGCTTGATTTCAGCGGTGCTCACAGCGTCTGGCAATGCCCATGGTGCTCACAAGGGTCCGTGATCCCCGTGGTGCTCGCAATGGTTTGTAAGTCCAGTGGTGCCCACAGCGTCTGGCAATTGCAATGTGGCTCACAGTGGGTCGGAATTCAAGCGGCGTCCACAGCGTCTGTCAATTTCAATGGCGCTCGAAGGGGCTCGTGAGTTCAGTGGCGTTTACGTTGGTTTGAAATTCCAATCGTGTTCCAGCGTCCAATAAATTGCGGTGGCCACGGGGGGGCGCAAGATGGCACCCAGACGGTTCCAATATTACCTAAAGGCGGCCCCAAGTGGCCAAAAGACGGTTCCAGACAGTGGGTCGTAATTCCAGTGGATCTCACAGCGTCTGCCAATGCCCATTGTGCTCACAAGGGTCAGTGATTCCAGTGGTGCTCGCAGCGGTTTGCAAGTCCAGTGGTGCTCACGACGCTTCCTAATGTCAGTGGTGTTTGTTCCCACTGGTGTTCACAGGGCTCGTGAGTTCAGTGTTGCTCACGTTGGTTCGCGATTCCAGTGGTGCTTCCAGCGTCAATTGCTTGCGATTGTGCTTACACTGAGCCGTAATCTCAGGTGCATTCACAGCGTCTGCGGCCAAACTCTGAAACACCCACTGTTGAGTGGTCTAGGCCCAGCCCTCCCACAACCTTTCGGCTCAAATTCGCAGCGATGAGCCGCGGCAGTCCCTGGCTTGTTTCCTGCCGCCACCAGGGCAATGGCCCGCAGCTCTGGTCGCGAGATGGTTGAGATTGCGAGGCTTCGTTTTTTTTTTTTTTTCGGGTTTCGGTTTCGTTTTTTTTTTTTTTTTTTTTTTTGTTTTTTTTTTTTTTTTCCTCGGGAGCCAATCCAAGGAGTTCATCGCCCATTTGGCAAGAGCAACGGTTTCAGAGGTGGGCGCCTTCCCCCGAGGCACGAAGGCCCACGCAGAAGGCATTCGCACACCACCAACACGCCAGGCCAGGGCCACCCTGGCCCCTGGCACGGGGCACGGGCCCTCCTGGCCTAGGCCAGGCGGGCTTGTGCGCCAGCCTAACGCCCAAATAAGCCCTGGCCAGGCGTGGTGGTATTGTACGGGCGCCTCCCGCGGAAGGCCTCCCTCACGGAGTCTGTGATGCGTTCGGCAAGCGCTGGCGGCCCCGACGGGTACAGTCGCCTCCTCGCACACCTGCCGAAACCTGCAATCGACATGATGCTGGCCGGCAAGCGTGGCAGAACGAAGACAGAGTCCATCCGACGTTTTGCTCTCGGCGCCATTGGTGGAGATGGCGCCAGCTCCGCGGGTGCAACGCAATCGCCTGTCCATGCTAGCGTGGGCCACCAAGCCATAGTGCCGCTTGCAGAGCACTGTGCCCTCAACTGCCAGCTGGCCCCCGCACATCCGCGCAAGAAGCGCAAGTTGTTCAAGCTGTGGTACAGGCTGGGCAAACGCAAGGAAGCATCGGAGAAAGTGAGGCGCCATCTGAGAACAGTTCTGTCGGGGAAAACAGCTGAGGAGCTCGCGGCCACCACAGTGGGGCAGATTCATTCTGCAGTGGCGCTCAAATTAGGCATGCCCTTCAGCCACATCAGGCATAGGAATGTATACGTATTCTTCCATTCGAGGTTGTCCTCGGAGCTGCGGAAGTGCAAGCGGCTGCAGAAGCGCACCAAGCCTCGCAAGAAGGCTACCCAGTACTCGTTCGACCCACTCGCGGCGCAGCGATGGAAGGAACAGAAGGCAATGTGGGAGGAGGACCACTGGCCTTTCAAGTACGCGCAGCTGCCCTAGAGGGCACTTTTGCCTCAGATCGCGCGTCCTGCAACAACGTTCTAGTTTCAGCCTTTGCAGCGGTAGCGCGGCTGATGGATACCGTTTTAGGCCACGCAACATACATTAAACACATTCATGGTCATCTCAAACTGCGAAGGCCCCTATTCACCCACCGCCCACCACCCACCATCCACCACCCACCCACCCACCGCCCAACCACCACCCACCAACCCACGCACCCACCCCGCACCCCCCGCACCAACCCACCACCTACCCACACACCCACCCACCCCACACACACACACCCATCCACCACCCACCCACCACCCGCCCACACATCCACCCACCCACCGTCCCACCACCCACCCACCACCCACCCACCATCCACCACCCAACCACCCACCCACCACCACCCACCCCCGACCCCCACCCGACATTACGCACCACTCCACCATCACACCCACCATCCACCCACCGCCCACCCATCCCCCACCCACCACCCAGCCACCACCCACCACACTCCACCCACCCACTCGCCACCCACCACCCACCCACCCACCGTCCACCCACCATCCAGCGGCAATCGAAGGCAGTTTCGGTGCGTTTGGCTTCCAAGTGGCCGAGGGAGTCTCACGCGGGAGCTCTCTTCCTAAGGACTCCGCCACTACGATGATTTCAGACGGTCGTTGGAAACAGAAAGCTGTCGTCATTCTTGTGCCCCCAGGGGTGCCATTGGTGGGGTCTCACGGGGCAGATTGTGTCTGAGTGACAGTGGAGGTATTGTCAGGCGACAGACTTCTCCCAAATGAGTCCGCAGCGTATTTTTAAACTTCGGATGGCCATCGGAAATACGAACTGCCATTACTGTTGGGCCTCTCCAGCTTCAACCACAGAGAATCTCACGCGGGAGCGGATCTGCCTTGGGGTCCGGTTGGGCGTTCCTCGGTTGATTTTGGACCCATCTTGGCGGCCTCCTCCTCTTCCTGCTCCTCCTGCTCCTGCTCCTCCGTCTCTGCGTCCTCATCCTCCTCGTCCTCGTCCTCCTCCCCCTCCTCCTCCTCCTCCTCCTCCATCCCCCTTCCCCCTCCTCTTCTTTTTTTGGATTCGCCTAGCTGCCAGCGCTGATTTGGCAGATGCTTCGCTTACTTTTCCGCTCATGGTGTGCGTTTCCACAAGACTTCGCTGTTGTGCAGTCTTGGGGCCATGCCCATGCTCATGCCTCAGCTTCTGGCGCTCAAGATCAGCCGCGTCGGATTTCACTGTTGCGGCTTCCTTTTGCCCTCGGACATGCCGCCCGCGAAAGTCAGCCCCAAGGCCAAGGGCGCGCTCGCGCGCTTCGGCATCGGGGCGACGGGGGGGGGCAAGACCTTCGACAGCAAGGCAATTGCGCAGGCCGTCATGGAGTGCGCTCGCAATGGCACTCTCCAGGCCACCATCGCGGAGGCGGCGAGCTACGCATCCCAGCGCGTTTCGGCAGACGTCGTTGGGGCCAACTCTACCTGCGTCGCTCCGCCCGAGAAGATTCACGAGGTGATGAGGGCCTCAAAGCAAGCGACAGTCACCAGTGCGGCTTCCCTCGGCATGCTCGACCTGAACCACAATGCGTGCAGCGCTGTCGACGTCGCCCGTATCATTTTCATGTTCCAGGAGCACAACGACAGCTTGGCCTTCAAACGGGCTGTCGGGACCATTTCCATCAACTACGACACTATCGTCCACGGATTTCAGAAGCTGCAGAGGCTTGACAAGGATGCCGAGGTACACGCTTTGATGTTGCTCCTTTATTACACAAAGGACGATGCGATTGCCGCTGAATGTCAGGACTTGCACTTCGAGTACGTGCGAGCGGGCACTGGCTCCAAGGCAACCACTTACACGCTTTCCCTCATCAATGCCGAGGAGAAGAAGCGGCAGGCCTCTCCCTCCTCCTCCTCCTCCTCCTCTCGATGCTATCAGCCCCCCGCACCTCGCCTCCCTCCGAGGTCATCGGGCTGTCTGCCTGGCGGCGCATGGTGTTCTACAGCGACCTGTCCGCGAAAGCGGCTCGTGAGGACCGGTTTCCAGAGAGCAAGGGCGAGGGTGACAGATTGCTGAAAGTTTTGCAGCAGGACGGCGTTCCCGATTCGAACCTGGACGACAACACTGTGAAACGCTACCTATCCCTGGGCAGCCGCATCAAGAAACACATGGTGTTGCTGATGACGTGGGAAGCGTGCCACCAACGCGATTCCCTGCTCGACAACCTCATGAACTTGCGAAATGCGTTTGGAGCAAGCGACAACGAGGACGACGCGGCACTCATTCTGCGGGAGCTGTTCTTGCAACAGCGCGCAGGCGTTCGGAAGCAGCTCCAATACAAGAACAACAGGAAGGACCCGCGGACCACTGCGAACGTTGCCAAGGCCATCCTGCTCAAACGCAACATATTTTCGTTCTTGGCCGCCGAGCTCCCCATGCTTGCCGACGAGGTCTCCCACTACAGCAGCGACGAGTACGCGAGGACGATGTGGGGCGTGACGCCAGATGGCATCAAGGTTGCCGACAAGGATCAGGATATGTCCGACAGCGACGGCGAGACCGATCGCGTGGATATGAACCCTGAGGAGGCGTCGTCTCCTCCACTTTGCCCGTCCTTTTCCTCCACCTCCTGCTCTTCCTTTTTCTCCTCCTCCTCTTCCTCCTTCCCCCCTCCCCCCTTGAAATGTGTGTGATCATCAGCGGTGGATATGGTAAGCCTTTGGTCCAGACATCCCGCGCGGAATGCGGATGCTGCGGATGCTCGGATTACCCTACAGCGTCAACACTTAAGGGATACTTCGGGTGCAATGGCCCTGGGCGCGGGGATGCGGATGCTGCGGGTTGCCCTGCAGCGTCGACACTATGCGGAAAACAGTCTAAGCACTGCCTTTAATCAAGGATAGGCCGGCACGCCCAAATTTGAAAAGAGAAGGGGAACGGAGAGAAGAAGAGGAGGAGGAGGAAGGAGGAGGCGAGGGAAAAGAGGGACTGATACCAAATACCCCACCGTCGTATCATATAACAATGCACATTATCTAATACTCACATCGTCGTGGTTGCCCCATGCTGTTGAGGAATTCCAGTGGTGCATTCGTCTTGCCTTCGTCGTGGCTGCAACACGCTGTTTAGGAGCTCCAGTGGTGCATTCGTCTTACCTTCGTCGTGGTTGCCACATGTTGTTTAGGAATTCCAGTGGTTCATTCGTCTTGCCTTCGTCTTGATTGCCACAAGCTGTTTAGGAAATCCAGTGGTACATTCGTCTTGCCTTCGTCGTGCTGGCCCCATGCTGTTTAGGAACTCCAGTGGTGCATTCGTCTTGCCTTCGTCGTTTTTGCCCCATGCTGTTTAGGAATTCCAATGGTGCATTCGTCTTGCCTTCGTCGTGGTTGCCACACGTTGTTTAGGACTTCCGGTGGTGCATTCGTCTTACCTTCGTCGTGGTTGCCCAATGCTGTTTGGGAATTCCAGTGGTGCATTCGTCTTGCCTTCGTCGTGGTTGCCACAAGCTGTTTAGACACTCCAGCGGTACATTCGTCTGGCCTTCGTCGTCGTTGCCCCTTGGCGTCTCCATGCTTTCCTTCGTCGTGGTTGCCACAAGCTGTTTAGGAATTCCAGTGGTACATTCGTCTTGCCTTCGTCGTGGTTGCCCCATGCTGTTTAGGAATTCCAGTGGTGCATTCGTCTTGCCTTCGACGTTGA